CATCATTATCCCACAGCATCAACTCTATAGTAGGTCTCTGCCGCATTTTAAATTTCACTGAGGATATAAAAAAAATCCCACAATAACAGTTTAACTTACAGTTTATATGAGATATGAAGTCTATAGCTTTGTGAAAATAGACAAACTACAAACATTGAGTTGGTCTGCCTGCAACTACAGAGGAACTGTACTTTAGACCTACGCCATTGATATTGGTTAGTAAACCAATCTATGTGCAGCTACTTGTCTGAATATTAACTAACAAATTCATTCAAAGTATTTATTGGGAGTACAGTCCCCACAAAGAACAGTGAGTTATTATGGACAGAAAAATAGCTCCATTCTCTAGATAGTCACAGTTTAAGAAATAGATACCTTTTTTCCTTTTCAGATTGGCCTAATCAGTATGAAATGATTTTTAGTTTTTGACAAAGTCTGAAGATATAGATACTAGTTTATAAGGCCATAAGGAGAAAAATTATTATTATTATTTACTAAGTTTAAAAACATATAAATGAATATATGTGCAAGTACATATATATAAACATTGTATATATCTAATATCTATATCTATCTAGCTAGATAGATAGATATCTTATTTTCCAGCAAAGTTGTTTAAGATTCTTTAAATACACTTTAATCCTTAAACAGAGTAGAATTATTTCACATTGAAGAAAGAAAAGTTTTATATGGGCAAACTACAGTTTGCCTTTATTAACCAGAAAATAAAAAATCTTATCATTTTTGTCTTTTGATAGTCTAGTATTGTGTAATGTCAATAAAACCACTCTCTAGGGCTGTCTCTATTATTTAGCAAGAGAAGACAGCCTTTTACATGTTGTCTCTATAGTTTCATTTTATATCTTTAACTCGATGTCTTATTAGTGCATATTAGTTATATAGAGCAAAGAATTAAAAACCCAAATGATTTTGTCTTGGCACATCCTTACACGCATCTGCTCTTTTCTACCCTGTGTTACTCCTCACTGCCCTTTCCATCCTTCAGCCCTGATTCTCCTCATCTTTTCTAGGACTTGCCCGTCTGTTTACTTGCCATCTCTATATTTCCTCCTCTGTATGCTGTAGAGGAAAAGAAATGCAATATTTGTCTGAGTCTGACTATTTGACCTAACATGATGATCTTAAATTCTGTCTATTTCTCTGCAATTGACATGGCTTCATTTTTCTTTTGATCTGAATATTACACAATCATGTATGTATACATTTTTTATACATTCATCTGTTGATGGTCAGCGAGGCTATTCTCATAGCATACCTATTGTGAATTGGGTGAGAAATAATCTTTATATTATGTTTATCTTTAATTGTTTTGAGTAAATATCAAGGAGTGGCATAGATGGGTCAAATATTAGGTCTAGTTTACTTTCTCTATTGCCTGTAATGTTCACATTGCTATTAGAAGACTATAATTTTTAAAGTATTTTTTGTTATATACCACGTGTCTTTTCTTTCAGACTTACTTCTTATCTTCTGAACATGGATAAGATTGTTTTTGAGGAGTAGAGAAAGAAAGATAAAGATCTTGAGGCAGATTATATAACTGTGGATTTGTAAAGGAATGACATATGTTGAATCATTCTTTGCTAATGTTATATGCTACTGCATCTTTGTGTATTTTATGATGATGTAACAGTGTAGCGTAGACTGAGTTGTTTATGAGCAATAGAAGCTTATTCAGCTCACAGTTCAAATGACTAGAAGCACGGTGTAAAGGTGCAGAATCTGGTGAAGGCCTTCTTACTGGGTCATATTGTGGTAAATGGCACCTCCTGCTAAGAGAGAGCCCAAGAACATGGAAGCTTGCATCTCTATTTCTCTTTCATATCTCTAAGCCCTTATGGCCTGATCTAACCCTAATTACTTGGCAAAGGCCCCTTCTGCAAATACCATGAGCATATGAATTTGGGGTTTAATTTCCCACACAAGTATTTAGAAGAAAATTTCCAACAATACCATATGACAACCTAAATATCATAACCATTTAGAGACTGAGAAGAGATACCGCAGTTACTAGCAAATATTTCAAGGAACATAGATTTTTAAAATCAGAAAATACTGTATAGTACAGCAGGAAGAGTACTGAACAAGAAGCAAAGCATTTAGAGTCTAGCGTTAGTTCTTTATGGAAAACCAACTGACTTCCTAGATTCTAACAATATACAGCCTGATAAAAACATGATGAAATATTTAATTAAAAACATTACAATAAAAAGCACATCGACATCATCCACATCAAAATAATCCCCCAGCTTCTAACACACTTATCTCATTGGTTTTAACACTTTCCAAAAGTAATTCTGGAAGTCTTCCTTTGTTTGCCTTTAATTGCGTGCGTGTAGAGGCCTTGCTATTCTGAATTGATTCAAAGTGTATCCTTTTATGGTCACCTTGACTTTGGGAAAGAAGTTTCATGGTGCCAGATCCTGCGAATTGGATGAGGACACACTATAATGTTTTTATGAATCTGTCTTTCTGTTAAATGGCATTCAGCAGGGGCAGCATTCACTATTTTTGGTCTCACCTGTAAAAGATAAACAGGAAAGAGAACTCCCAAAACTGTTTAGAAAATTGACAGAAATGCTACCTTGTGTTCAAAGCAAGGAGGAGTATTTGGAGAAGGATTAATGGTGACATGTCTCCCACTGTTAACATATTTTAAAATTAAATACTGATTGTACACTTTGATCACCCCTTGTAACCCTCACATTATAACAATGAAGAAAAGCCTAGAACTTCAAATAAGTAAGGCTCAGCAATGTGTCTTGAGCAAGTTTCCCAATCTTTGTGACCCTAAGTTTCATTAGTTATACTGTGGACATAATATCTATCTTGCTGAGAACTGAAAAAGGAATAATGTTTAAAAATTTCTGAGTAACATCTCATAACTGATAGGAGCTCAATAAGTTTTGATTATTGGTAATTTAGTTTTACCAATATTTATCTCTTCATGAAGCTCATTCTCCATGCTTTAAACATAGTGCATCAACCCCTCTACTGCAGATCTAACAGTTGTCACTGTAAGGAAATGTGTTAAGTACAATGCACTTTGAAAAGAATGAGGCTGCGCTGTGATGTAAGGAAAGGTTGCTTTGGTGTGCACCAGGAGGACTATATTCCAGAGTAGGTAAGACTTGCAGTGGGACTCATCTCTGTTCACAATATGGCCAGAGGCACACAGATTGCTTTCCAGGCTTGTGAAGCTACAAATATAGCCATTTCAGTCTGAGCATCCCATCATGGGCCAGGTGCCTTGGAAGTACAACTCTTATGCCAGGTTCTTTTTGAAAGAAACAGCAATGCAAATGACTTATATTCTAGCTGCTGAAGCTGCCAAATGACTCTTGAAAAGGGACAAAAAGAAAACAAAGCAATGTCCTCCAGCAGTGCACAGTCTCCTTTATCCTCCCTCCCTTTCTTTCATTTTAATCTTTTGTAATGTGTGGATTCAGAGTCCAAAAGTGTCAACAAAACATGTCGGTTCTGCAGTTTCTATTATCCAGTGCAAATTGGAAAAAGGGAACCACATGTTTCCTAATCTTCTTTAAAAATTCCTTATTACAAATAATTTACGTCCAAATCATTCCTCACACGATGTGGATAGTGTAGGTGCAGCAGAAGGCAGCTCCATATCGAGCAAATGCAGACAATTCTCTTTTCCTGAAACACAGCATAGTCAGAGCAGGCAGTTTCCCAGCTTGTTTATGATCGCTACACTGGGAATAAAACGCTACAAAGATACTGTAGGTACTGGGGCGGGGGGGGGGGGGGATTGGTTGCTACATTTGTGAGGAAAATACCCCAAAGGAATATAGCAGTATCAAAGGCAATTCTTTTTCTTCATTGCAAAAACATACACTTTTACAAGCATATGGAAGAAGATCAAGCTGCACTGTATTTTTATTGTGATATGAATTGTGCAAACAGTTGGGAAATACAGTTTTCAGTATTAAGTGAAATTAAGTTCCTGTTGAATATATGCATTTGAATATTTAAAATCGTGTTTTCCTTGTATGTTGTTTTTCATGTGCCTTGTACTGTTTCAAGTTAGTTTACTGATTTCCCTGTGTATTTGCATAGGCAGGTTTTCATTCACTAATTAGTTTTATAATGTATTAATAATATCAACACAGCCACACGTCCCTGTGTGCTGGATTCAGGTTACTAGAGATACAGCAGCATTTGTTAAGCTCAGGTAGGAATTAAATATCTTTTATGAGAGAGAGGGACAGATAGCAGTGGCATTTGCTTCCAGCCTTAAGATCCTTTGAGATGTGTATTACTGGATATGACTTGTTGAGTCAATTAAGCAGATGCTAGTTCACGTGTAGACATATGTTGATTTTCAAGTGCAGTTGTTGAGAGGGATGATGGAGGCTTTGCATGAATGCAAATTACAGGGGTGAGCTTTGGGGGTGCCATATTTATATTTTGAATTTAATTTAAACAAGAAGCTGAAAGATATAAATGGTATTAATTTTGATAAATTTTAGAAAAATAAGTAGGATATAGTAAAGCATTTTAGCACCTAAAACATTAATTTTTTAGATTAAATAATATTTTAAATGGCATATACTAACCATTAATTTTATCTAGAATTTTACTTCATCCAATAACCAGACATTGAATTCTAGTTGTTCCTCACACCTGTTTATTTGATCATGTTCCAAACTATTGTATAATGAATTGTTTTAAATTCTACTAAACTCATTCAACAATGAAAGATATTTCTTAATATTCTAGCTAAAATGACAAACAAAATATTACATTTCTTTGTACTGTTCTGTGACATGGAAAGATAATGAAACATTTTTCTTTATAGAAAAATAAATAAGAGGTTTAATAGTAAAAAGCTTTTATGAAATTATGCTTTTTCCTCCATGTTTTTGCTCCTCGGATTGTAAAAGGTATATGAAATAATAAAAAGCAAGCAAGAACTCTTTATTACCCAATGCTAGTAATTTTTTTCTTTTTTCTTTCAGCTCTCAGGAGAAGTGATTTTGCAAATTGCCAACGAACCAGTTCTGCCCTTTAATGCTCTCGATATAGCTTTAGAAGTTCAAAACAGCCTTAAAGGTAATTTTTCTTTAAATTATAGTAATTTGAGCAAATGAGAATTGTTCAACTAATTTTCAGCATGGTATGGATGAAACCATCTTCTGTGTCACTAGCTGTGGCAGTGCTATGCCTCCTCTCCGTGGTCCTGAGAAGTGCCCGGAAGGTTTTAGCTTCCATCCCAACAAGAATGAGATGTACTTGTAAGTGCACAAAAGACGAAATGTCTTCAAGCATAATCTATCTGGTTTCCTTTATCACATGAATTTATAATTCTACAGGTTTATTATTATTTACGAGTTCCATATGAAAGAATAGAGTTCAAGGATTCAGTCGTCTTTTCAACATTTTACCTAAAATCCAAACACGACTGGGATAGAAGTTCCTTCTTGAGGATTGGCCTGTATTATAACTAGGCCTTATTCTATTTAATTACAGTGTTAGCTCAGTTCAAAGACAACAAAGAGACAATCAGACAGTTATTTTTATAGTCTTTGTTTCAGCCTCACCATGTTTGAATACATCATTTTTGCGCAGTTCTGACCTTGCCTTATTAATTAGCATTATTTACCCTTTATCTGCATAGAAATCTTTCAATTAGGGTCCTATGTGTGTTCATTAAGCAAACAGAAAAAGCAATGTTGTGGTTAAGAATTTCACTCTCCTTTTGATTCACACATCTTCCTATCCAATCTTTAATGAATCATTTGTAAACACCTCAGTACAAAAGCCAATATTTTAACTATAGTGCTTAAGGAGTAATTCTTTGAAAGTGGATAATTCTAAAGAGCTACATATTGTTAGTAACTGGAAAATCAATTTTTTTTAAATTTAACTTCCCATATTATTTCTTGCTCAGAGAATTCGCCTAAAATTATTTTTTTCTTCAGTGATTCCTAAGACTCATTACTGTGATTACAAAACCATGATTCAGGGAATAACTGAGATGTTTAGTGCTATGATCCTCACACAGAGCTAAATTTTCCTACAAAGTTTCATATGGTCTGAGGTGGTGATTTTGAAAGGTGATTCACTCAAGGCAATGTTACACTCACCAGTGGATTAATCTATTGATGAGTTTATGATGAATGTGTTGTTTAGGAGTCGGGGCCTGATTGGAGTGGGCATGTCTTTCCCTCTGGCTGTTTTTCCTTCTCTTTCCTGGCTGCTCTGTGTTGAGCAGCTCACCAGGCCCTTGCCAAGTCATATTTGCCTCGGAGCTATGGAATGAACCATATTAAATTGTGAACCAAAAGAATTCATCTCTTCTTTAAATTCTAAGTGTCAGATACTTTGCTTCAGTGATGAAAATCTGACTAAAGCAAGTAGTGTTTTCTCCCAGGTAAAATGTCCTCATGGTATATATAAGTCATTCTCTATATCGTTATCTCTTTTCTACTTCATTTCACTCTCCTTAGCGTAGCTGTCTATAGGAGTCTGTTCCCCACTTCAGACTTGCTATCTGTAGAATATTTTGGGTTTAGAAACTGGGTAGCCAAGCATATGACATTTTGCAAAATAAGAGCAAAGCAGATATAAACAGTAGACCAAATAGTTCTGTGACTAATAACCTTCTTGCAGATATTTTATTTATATTGCACATTGTTTTTCTTCTTTTTCAGTTCTGATTTTCATATACTAGAAGATTAAATTGGTATTTCATATATTTCAAACTTGCAGAGAACTAAAGGAGGAGGCTGTTATTTATATTATGTAAATATCTACTTATAAAGGAATAGCTGTCATATATGGGAGGAAGCCTCAAACCACATACTTTAAAATAGTAACATTATAAAATAGGCTTATACATGATAAACAAGTTGCTTTGTGGAGTCCAATTTTTATAATATCTTTGTAATAAAGACATAAAATTATAGTTTAAGGATAAAAATAGAAACAAATCCAGCAAAACAAAAACATTAGCAATAGTAATTTTTTTTGAGACAGTGTCCTGCTATGCAGCTCAAGCTGGCCTTGAACTCTCCATGTAGCCCAGATTGGCCTTGAACTCCAGGAGATCCTCCTTCCTTATCCTCAAGAGTGCTGAGGTTACAGGAGTGCACCACAATGCTCAGCTAGCAATAGTATTAAAAGCTGAATTATATTTTTTAAACAACTGAGTTTATTTTTTAAAATTCAAAAATAGACATAACATTTCAGCATTATTACTGTTACATGAACATTTTAAGTTATGTAGGTTGCCAGTGAAGCTCAAAAGTGAAATTATTGCTCATTACTAGAATATCTTATTAATCTGTTTTTAAGGTCCCTTTCAATATATGAACTATGATCTTATTTAACAAAAGTTAAATGTGTAAAAAAATTTGCATGTAATCACTAGACATCACAAGATCTCCTGAATTTATTCTAAATTTAAATGAACAATATCTCCAAATCCCTAGCTAAACACATAAATAAAACACAATTAAAATCTCAGCTTGAGACATATCCAGTCCATTCATTCATCTATCCATCCATCCATCCATCCATCCATCCATCCATCCATCCATAGATTACCATGGAGAAATAAAAACAGCACAAATAAAAATTAAAAGCAAATTGGAAATCAATATCTTGCTCAAACTAGTTCCTAATATTAATCTCTTTGAATTAAATTTACATTCTCAGTAAGTGTTATAATAGAACATGGAAGTTGTATGTAGTGTACAGAGATCTCATATGGGATTATAAATCTGGGAGGTTTTCTACATGAGATTGTTAGGAATTGAATGTAGATAAAGAAAGTCTAATATTTCTGGGGTACCCCTACATTTAGAAATTAGGAGAAAAAGGTACAATCAGAGAAGGGAACCATGACATGAAGGAGTGGCCAAAGTATTAGATCAAACAATTGAATGTGATATCCTGAAATCATGACAATAAAATCCTTTTAGTCAGCTTTTCAAATGCTGTTGTTGAAGAAAAATGAGGGCTACAAATTCACTACTAGGAGGCCAGGGATCTAACTTAGTGGCATAAGCACCTGCCTGGCAAGCGGGAGGTTGTGAGTTCAATCCCCAGAACCAAAAAAAAAAAAAAATCACTACTAGATTTAACAATTTATAGGCCATTTGTGATCTCACAAAAACAATTTTACTGGAATGACATAAGCAAAAGCTTCATTGGAGGGATTCAAAAGACAAGGCATAAATCTAGGATAAATGCCTAGTGATAACAGGTAATATTTATTGAGTCAAACAGTTCTACATGTTTTTATTTTGATGGTAATGGTCTAGTGAAAAGGCAGAATTTATTCACAAAAAGAGAGGAATAGAAAATTGTTGGACTGATTTTCTTGAGAAGGGGTAACATATTATTAGAAAACATTGCCTTAATTATGATTTAATCCACAGGAGTACTGTAACAAAATCCCATACATTGGGTGATTTACAAACAAAATTAATTTATTACTCATAGTTCTGAAGGCTGGGAAGTCCAAGGTCAAGGCACAGGAGATCCATGGCTTGCTTCCTGGTTCATAGGTTGCTATTTTTTTCTAGAACCATACATGATAGAAGAAAAGAGAGAGTTGTCTTAGATTTTTTACATTAAAGACATTACCTGTATTTTGTAGAGCTCTACTCTTATGACTTAATAATCATACAATGACTCAGCCTCCTAACATTATAGCCTTCAGAGTAAGCATGTTTTAACATATGAATTTTGGGGAAATTCAAGCACAAAGATCAAAGCAGAAATGGAATAGTCCATCCATTAAAATGAAAAGATACAATCTAATCTCTCTTTTCTTTAGCCTCTTTACCTGTAGCTACCAGCCACCCTACACTGTCCTGGACAACATCATTATCAAAACCTGTGTTCTATGATCTCATTTTTAACAATGCCATTTGCTGACTGCCCTTCCTGTTTCATCAACCAAAGGGCTCTTAATTCTTTGACCTCATCCAAACACGAAGTCTTTTGGTTTTTTTTTTTTTTTTTCACTTTTGCTTGACTAATTCCCCTATATTTTCATTTATTTCTTCTCTGGTTGTGATACTTAGACCCTTCACAAGAAGTGTCCTTTTGCATGCCCTTTATTTTACCTACTTTATTCTTATCTCAGAAAAGCTCTGGCTCTGTTTAAATCCAATTCTTCTATGTCTGCGATGGGATTCAGAGACACTGCCCTGAAATATGCCACCTGAGGAAACAGAAGAAGGTCTTGTTGATCTTCTCCCACCCTTTTGCTTGACACAGCCCATAGAAAATGTTGATGTTCCTGTGAAGTTGGCCATAAAATATGGATGTCCTGTAATGAGGAAGGAACATTCTTATCCTCAAAGACACAGAGAAGAATCTGAACAAGGAGCCCTTGCTGACATCAAAGTTCTGTGTGCTCTTTTCTTCATCAAAGTCAGCATAAAAACAATATATTTCGACTCATTTCTGCAGGCTCTTGTGTCACATAAGCTTCAATTAAGTAAGTTTATTTGTCTCCGTTATAGGAGTCACAACCATCAAATAGCATGAATTAGCACAGGAGGCATGTAAGAAGGAGTGGTATGAGTCAGGAGCTAAAAATCTTCACAGCGGGAGGCGTGACTTGGAAAAGATTCCAATTGTGCTTCCAAGGAAAGTGGGCAAATGGTAGAAAAAGGATGAGGGAAAAAAAAACAAAAACAAAAACAAAAAGAATCACCGCCTGACAGCTGTAGCAGAAGCAATGTCATTGGGACAGGCGTTCTGTTAAAGCAAGAAGTTAAAGAAGCTATTCTGAGAATAAGCCAAAATAACAGTTTCTTTAAAAATTATATTCAAAAGCATGTCATTATAGAAAGAGAAAACAAAACCCAGATGAAAACTCTATAGACTTCTACTTCAGCCCAGATACTACCGTGCATAGAGGAAACTCTCTCTCAAGCCTGGCAATCTCAGTTGGATAAGCCAGGAGCACTTTACTGCGTGCTGTTATATATGAGGCTGCTTTTGCTGCAGGTGAAGACTTTTTCCTTTGATTGTTGGCTATTTTTGTGTTTTGTTTTCTTTTGATGTGAAGCTCTTTGGGTCTCTCTGTCACT